TTCCAGCAGCCATTTTTGACCCACCGAACAGCTGATCTGCGGTCTCGCTGCGGCCGAAATGGCCGCGCGCAGCATTTTCGCGCCCTCCCCTCGCTTACTGAGGGCACGAAAATGGCTGCCGGACCCAGAAAACATCACTGTACTTTGAGTTTTCTGCCGATTTGGCTTTTTCTGATCCGTACAGCGATGTTTTCGCATAGCGAAGGTTAATCCGGAACGGATTACCCTCGCTATGCGAGGCACCACTGTACAAGAATACAAAATATTTACTAATACAATCTAAAACACAGTGCACCCCCGTACCCACGGGACCCTTTGGAGCAATACTTTTATTACGAACCTCCTTTCCAAAATTGTATTGATTATTGCTTAGAGGCTTTCCCCTTTCCTGTCACTAAAACTAATTCAATAAATCTACCCCAAATAGCATAAAACATATTTAAAGTTATTTCCCCTCTTTTCATCTTAAGTTCAGTAGTCTATCATTTAACGCACTGTTAAACCATCATTAGCTATTATTTCTGAAGTATTATCTGAATATAATTGATCTATAACCCCAATAAATTTTCTATTAAATCTCCAACCCTTTATAAGCAGCTTTAATGTTGGCTGTCCCACACAGTTAAAGGCCTTAAATATGTTTAGTGATAAAAGTTGCCTTTGTTTTTTCCTTTTCTACCTCATATATAATGTTCAAAACTCACCTAGTAAATTATCCATTTGTCTTCCCTTTATAAAGCCACATTGATCCTCTTTAATATAATTTGCTATAAATCTATTTAATCTATTTGCTAATATAGCAGTAAAAATCTTAGTGTCTTGATTTATTAGAGATATAGATCTATAAGATCCTGGATCTCTTAGATCCTTGTTGGGCTTTGGATTAAGAATTGTTAATGAGTGTTTCCAAGAAGGTGGCATTGTCTCTCCTTCCAGTATTTCATTATAAAATATTTTTAACTTAGGTATCAAAATGGAACTAAGATGTTCATAATATTCTGGACCCAATCCATCAGGGCCTGGTGTTTTTTTCTCTATCTCTAAGTTTTCTAGTTCCTTTCTCTTTGCCTGAATTTCTGCCAATATCCTTCTACCTCTTTCTAAAAAAACTTGCTTTCCAAATTTCTCAATTCTTCTTCCAGTTTTTTCACGTTTATCTCCTTAATTTTTTTCAGTTTACAGGTTTCCCTTATTGTTATTCGTCTTGAAATTGTGTTCATCGTGTCCCACAACAGGCCTAATATCATACCTCCTGCTTCATTTATTGTCCATAATTCTAAACATTCTTTATTTTTTTTATTACCTCTGGGTACTGGAAAATGTTAATATCCATTCTCCATCTTTTAGAGTCTTTATAATCTCAATCTCCATTGATATCAAATGTTATTTTTATAGACTTAATCTCAGTATTAATTTTTTTATTACCTCTGGGTACTGGAAAATGTTAATATCCATTCTCCATCTTTTAGAGTCTTTATAATCTCAATCTCCATTGATATCAAATGTTATTTTTATAGACTTAATCTCAGTATTAACTATTTTAGGACTTAAATCTTGAGATGTGAATATGAAATCTATTCTGGAATAACTATTATATACTGCTGAAAAATAAGTATATCTTCTTTCATCACCTTTCATTACCCTCCAAATATTTTTTTTACCTTCTTGCTCAATATTGTGTTTCTTTGGAGAACATCATTCCAATCATAAAATTTTTTATCCTTTATCTTATCCATAACCATATTGAAATCCCCTGCCATAATAACATAATAACTCTTTCTTTACCTTCTACATTTCTTTAATAACCATGTCATAAAATCTTGTTTAATATAAGGTGTGTAAACATTAACCAAGGTATATTCTTCCCAACCCATTTTACCCTTTATTATTATAAATCTGCCATTATAATTCTTTACTACCTGTTTCACTGTAAAATCACAATTTTAAAAAAGTATGATTTCCACACCTCTAGATTTAGACGTTCCAAAGGTTTTTTTTCATAAATGTCTATATTATTCATCTTGTTTGTTGACTCCATCTTCTGATTGATTAGTCTCTTGCAAAAAGGCAACGCCCACTTTATCTTTCTTCAATAATGCTTCTTCTTCTTTTCACTGTTGATCCCAGAACTTTCATATTTAAAGTGGCTAGTCTTATTCTCTTGGCCATTTCAGCTCAAAATCTCTTCCTAACAGGCCCCGTGTGCAACCCATCCTCCCAACAAACAAACAAACAAAATTACATTAAAAATTAAACTCAGCATAACCCAAACATATAATGCTTTACCCCTATCAACCCACTGAACATTTATCTTTTTTCCCACCCCACCATATTCCCCCGCTATAACTACTAGCGAGGGCACAAGGTTGGGGGGGGATTGGCAGATATACTGGAAAATCCATTTGATTATAAAAAGTTATCTCTTAATAAGGCTATTGAGAAAATAAGCATCTTTCTACCCCCAAGGTTTTCAAAAATAAAAGTAGCAGAAGTGTGTATGAATACCTAATAGGAGCTGCTTGTCCACTGGATTATATTTTTCTAAGATCACTCAAGAATATTTTCCATAATTCACTATTTTTTTTTCTGTCGCTACTAACTACAGTCACAGGTGGGTCTTTTATGTGAGATGAAATGTCAATATATAGCATAATTCTCATTATGATTCTTGGACATCAATAAATTAGTGGACAGCATCCCAATTCCAATAAACTCTGCTTGTGTTTACTGCAGTTCCAGGGCAAACAATGGATGTCATCAATTGCTCCTTTTTAGGAATTCAGTTCAGAAGAACATACACTTTTCATGGGGAAATAAGGCTTGAAAAACTGGGAAGTGATATTCACGTATGAAATAAAAATATTGTAGCAGCTTTTCTATTTTAACCATTCTCTTTTGCAAACTTAAAAAAATATATAATATTAGATGGGTTATTTTAAAGGCTTTTAACTTCTTTCCTGGAGCATAAGGGAATAATATAATAAAAATCACAAAAGCAGAAGGCACTTTAATGTGCATTGAAGTATCACTAAAATACTCAAAGTTAAATATCAGCACTATACAGTGGCGCCTTGACTTACGAACGCCTTGACCTACGAACATTTTGAGTTACGAACAGTTCCATTCCCAAAATTTTGCTTTGACTTGCGAATTGAGCTTTGACTTTTAGACCAGATGGGCAGGGTATAAATCAAATAAATAAATAAATAAATAAATAAAACCACGGGAAAAGCGGGAAATGGACTTTGTACTGGTACTGTAATTTTAAAATGTAAAAATTGGTTTCATTTAAAGCTGCTTAGTTTTAAAGGTGTTCTGTTTAAAAAGTGTTCCCTCCCTCCCTCCTTTCCTGCCCTTTTTTAACGCTAAATTCATCTTAGGTTAAAAGAAGAAAAATTCTCCACCTAGTGGTGGAGGATGGATTAACCGGTTTTGACTTACAAACCGTGCCTTAACATACGAACAAAAAACAGCCAGAACGGATTAATCCGGTTTCAATGGGAAATGCTGCTTTGACTTATGAACTTTTTGACTTACGAACATCTTCTGGGACAGATTAAGTTCGTAAGTCAAGGCACCAATCTTCATGCATTTATGCATATACTGTATATATAATAATTTCTGTATATACACTTTACCTCATTTGACTACAGTCATACCAGTTGTCTTCTAAATACCTTTCTGCTTATTTACCACTTTCAGCTGCAGCTTATAGGCTTAAACCTTTCCAGTTACATCCTTATCTTCCTTAGTACCATAATCAGTTTGTATCCATCTTGTTTCTTCATCTGTTTGATCTTTGTGCATGTCTTTCTTTCTTTCTCTAGAGCAGCCTTGATCTATATTAAATTAGCTGCTTTTAAAACTTGAACTGTCTTTTCAGTATAACTGTTTCCACACTGTAACTATCAGCTATTGGTCATCCATGCAGCAACTTCTCTGCACATTTTCACATTCCTTAAATTAGAGATTAATGTTTTAAAACTCTTTCCTTCCTTCAAACAGTGTGGAGATGGATATTTCTCTTTTTAATTCCTGTTAATGCATGGAGAAATAGATTCATATAGAGAATATCCAGCACAATAACTTTTTTCTGAATATATTAATTCAGAATAAGTATATGATCTTTATCGTAAGTGTAATCTAACATTATTAATCCATTGCATCAATATCTTACTTCTACTGTTACCTTTATATCTTTCATGCTGTTGGCCTAAGTACACACTTCACATTCACCTTAAATCAGTAATTAAATGTAGTAGCTACTGCTTCTCATGTTTCATATGCCCTATTGTTTTCAAAATCTTGAAAATTTATATTTTAGTTGATGAACAGCATTCTTCTGGAAGCTACAACTGTAATAGTTTGTATTTTTGGAGTAACTGTGATTAATAAATTCTTAAAAGCTTAGAGAATAATATCTAATTGCTAAGCAATTTATTATTATTTTAAGGCTGAAAGTGAACTACAGAGAGCTTCAATGGATGCTACTAGAACAACTCGACAGTTGGAGGAAACCATTGACAACTTTGAAAAACAAAAAATAAAAGATATAAAGGTCTGTATAATTTGAATATAAAGAATCACCAAATGGTTTAGAAACAGTGAGATTATTCAGACCAGCTGTTTAAAGGAATTACAGTGGCCAGAATCCTATTGGTTAGTACAGTAAATTGCATTAGAGTAGGCCAGATGAATCAATGGGAATTTAGAGAATCAACTACTCTATAAAATCAATTGATTCAACTGGGCCTACTCTGACCTGCTATGTTAATTAAATCAGTCACAGTTAGAATAGACCCATCTGAATCAATGGACCTTATGGAGGAGTTGATTCACAAGATCTCCATTGATTTAGACTTATTCTAGTGCAATTTACTATGCTAAGATACAGGACTGTTGCCCATGGGATTGCACAGGAGTCCTTCCATGGCACATGGGATAAATAAAGAGAGGTATTTGCAGTCATAGGGACTAGATGAACATTCAATATATGTTCGTTCGCTGAGAGAGGTGATGTGTATTTCCAGTCATTGGGTTTGTTAGGCTGTGTGAACCTCTCTGCATGTTCATTGAATGCATGAAAAGTTCATGTAGACACAGATCCACAGACAGAATGCTATTACTAATTTACAGATTGCAGATAAAATCAAGACACCAAATTTGTACTAGGGTATTATGAGTGTGCTCCTTGTATCCTTACCTATCTGCAATAAGACTTCACTTGTGTCAGAATAACTGCCATCTTAGAACTGGTAACACTGCCTCACTTGCTGTTTAACTGAAGAAAGCAACACGGCCTTCTCCGGTATGATGCTGTCCACTTGGTTTGGCTTATAACTGCCATGTCCAGGAGGCATTGTGGTTAGTAGAGATAAGAACCATACTCAAACTTGTGGGTGACAGTTCTGGAAAACTGGGCTACAGTAATGGACTTATAGTCTAATTAAAATTTGGTGAAGCCCTAATAACTTCCAATTAATTGTAAGAAATAATCACATAACTTAGTGAAGTGATTAAACAGAAAAGCAGTTTTTAACAATGGAGTTTGTATCTGGGCAACAGGTAGACAAGAATAACTTCAGGTAGACCAGAACAAGAGAAGCTGGCCCTCTCAATGTGTTTGAACTCCAGTCGCAGTCTTCACCAAATAAGCGACATACAAAAGAAATTTCAGCCTGTAGGAAAGGGCGTATTCTGACTGTAGAAGGGGATGTTACATGAACTATGTGTCTGTCTTTTAATACTGTGTATCAAGTTACCAGTTTTTAAGCTGTAGTCTGGCATTATACCATACTAATCATTAGATCCAGAAGTTGCCATTATGTGTAACACTTTTAACCTTATTTTTAGAACATATTTTCAGAATTTATAACAATTGAAATGCTGTTCCATGGAAAAGCCTTAGAGATTTACACCGCTGCCTACCAAAATATACAAAATATTGATGAGAATGAAGATTTAGAGGTAAGGGATCAGCTGAATCCAATGTAAGGTTATATAACAGATTTTTTAAAAAATGTGTTCAGAATAACCCATAGAACTGTATTTCTGCACTATTTTATAGAGGCATGTCAGTGTTACACAACTGACTTCTAGCTCCCAGATCGATTTAGATAACAACCTTCCTCCTAACCCAGTGGTCGGGAACAGGGGTAAATTACCCCAAATGGGGTTAAAATGAAAATCCTGGAGGTAATGAGCAGAGCGCTACCCCCACCGCCATCCCACCCCCTGCAGCCGAACCTCAAACTGGAAGCCACCTCTCCCTGCTACCTTCTTTGGTTGCGGCACTTGTAAATCTGTTCTTTCAGAGATCGGAGATAAGGCTTGTGAATGACTGCTTTCGCTGAAGGTGACTGCAAGCAGGATGAGGGAAATATGCAATTAAGGATGGAAGGAAAGTGGGAGAGAGGAACAGGTGGCTTCATCAGCTTTTTAAATGTACAGTGGTGCCCCGCATAGCGACGTTAATCCGTTCCGGATTAATCGTCGCTATGGGGAAACATTGCTAAACGGAAAGGAAAAACCCATAGGAACGCATTAAACTTCGTTTAATGCGTTCCTATGGGGCCCAAACTCACCGTTCAGCGAAGATCCTCCATACCGCCGCCATTTTCGCGCCCTAGGTAAGCGAGGGCAGGGTGCGAAAACACTTGCGGTGGCCATTTTGGGCACCCGGTGGCCATTTTGGGACCGCCGATCAGCTGTTTAAAAAAATATCACAATGCGAAAATCATTAAGCGAAACGCTTAGGTTGCTATGCGGATTCGTTGTTAAACAGTGCACTCGTTAAGCGAGGCACCACTGTATGTAGAAAATGGGGGGAGGGTGGGTCGATGGTGGGTGTATGTGTGTATGAGAGAGAGAGAGACTCAAAACTATGAAAAAGGAACAGCCAAACAGAACGGAAGACTTAAGGGGTAAAGAGGTGGCTTCCTCAAGCTTGTTTAAATGTAATGAGAGGAAATGGACATACTGAACTGAAGCAACTAATTGTTGAAAATTGAGGGAAGAATGTTTGTTTGTGTGTGTGTGAGAGAGAGAGACTTGACTATTTCACAAAACCATGAAAAAAGGAACCTTCTAAAATTTAATCTCCACTGCATTTAGCTCTGCAGTTTCTGCTGAAAACAGCAGAAGTCTGAAGTGTGTAGCAATCACGTTTCTCTGTTTCTCATCCCCAAAGCAAACAAGAGTATCATAGTTTATTCCCGAAATCTGAATCCCAGTCTTTCTGCTCCTGGCCCCACTTTGACTGCAGCACCAAACAAAATACTGTGGGTTTCTTTATTGAGTCAATCCATCTCATGTGCAGTCTTCCTCTTTTCCTACTGCATTGCATTTTCCTGCATTGCTGCTTTTTCCAGTGAGCTTGTCTTCTTTGATGTTGAGCTTCAGGCCATTTTTTGCACTCTCCTCTTTCACCCTCATTAAGAGGTTCTTTAATTCCTTATTTTCTGCCATCAGAGTGGTATCATCTGCATATATAAGGTTAGTGATATTTCTTCCAGTAATCTTAATTTCGGCTTGGGATTCTTCCAGTCCTGCCTTTTGCATGATGTATTCTGCATATAAGTTAAATAAGCAATATACAGCCTTGTCGTACTCCTTTCCCAATTTTGAAGCAATCAGTTGTTCCATATCCAGTTTTAACTGTTGCTTCCTGTCCCACATATAGATTTCTCAGGAGATGGATAAGGTGGTCAGGTACTCCCATTTCTTTAAGAACTTGCCATAGTTTGTTGTGGTCCACAGAGTCAAAAGCTTTTGCACGGTCAGTGAAGCAGTAGATGTTTTTCTGGAACTCTCTGGCTTTCTCCATAATCCAGCGCATGTTAGCAATTTGGTCTCTAGTTCCTCTGCCCCTTCGAAATCCAGCTTGTACTTCTGGGAATTCTCGGTCCACATACTGCTGAAGCTGTAGGATTTTGAGCATAACCTTGTTAGTGTGTGAAATGAGTGCAATTGTACGGTAGTTGGAGCATTCTTTGGTACTTCCCTTCTTTGGAATTGGGATGTAGACTGATACTTTCCAGTCCTCTGGCCACTGTTGAGTTTTCCATTGCTGAGGACAAAAATTGCGCACTGGTCCTTTGATATTGGGTTGTAGCATCAGAGTGGGTGACATGACCTTTAGCCTGGTTTGTTCCTTTTTGCACACCACACACAGAATGATTAAAATGGTAGGAAACACACACCCCCAACTCTGCGTTGGGTGTCTCTAGCAAGCATGTCATTGCCAGCACCATTGATGATGATTAAATCCTCTGCAAGCTAGAAAAAATTTAATGCAACTTGCTAGGCATGTTGGACACTTTACTACTCCCTATACCACACCATGGCTGGAGTGCAATGTGCTCCAGCAAAAATAGTGCACATCTTTATCAAATTTGCTGCATCCTGCTAGTTCGGTACACAGCCTGTGTAGATTCAATAATATTTTGATACAAATAATGTATGATTTCCTTCCTTTCGAATCAAGGGGGTAATGTTGGCGTATATAAAAAACATTTTTTTGGGGGGGGTAAAAGGTAAAGTTCCCTGACCCCTGGTAACGTATATAATTTTAGGGAGAGGGTAAAAGGTAAAAGTGTTTCCTGACCCCTGTCCTAACCTCATAACATGGGCATACTGATGCAACCTTTATTTACCTTAACTTGTCCAAGATAAGCTGCAGCTTACCTTCAATGCCATTCCACTACTTATATAGCATATAAAATTGATTTTAAAGTACAGTGGGGTCTTGACTTAAGAACGGCTTGAGTTAAGAACATTTTGACTTAAGAACTGCTCTCATAGGAAAATATTGACTTGACTTAAGTACTTAGATTTGAGTTAAGAACTGAAAAAAACCCACGTGGGAGGCAGGGAAAGTGCAAAAAGTGAACTTTCAGTTAACTGTTGGCCAGTGAAAAGGGTGCCTGTCTGCTTCCTCACTCCTCCTAGTGTTTAGAGAGTGGATTGGGAGACAGTCTTCGGACTGCCTGGTACTGCCTGGACTGTATTTTCCCTGCCTTCCCTTAACCTTTCTTGACCTAAGAAAAAAAAGAAACAAAATATCCCCCTCTAGTGGTCGAAGGCGGAATAGCAGCTTCCCATTAGTTTCTATGGACGGAAAAGAGCAGATACGGATTAAATGGTTTTCAATGCATTCCTATGGGAAATGCATATTTGACTTGAGAACTTTTTGACTTGAGAACCGCCTTCCAATACGGATTAAGTTCTCAAGTCAAGACCCCACTGTACTGAAATAAAGCACAGAGACTAAAATCCTTTTCTGTAACTTATGCCTGAAGTCATCAGCAGGGGTGATTTTTCAGATAGTAAACTTTTCTTATTCCTGTCCTGATACTCCTGTGTAATCTCTTTCATCATCAGACATCCATGAGATAGGAGAAGGAAGTATTTACCAAAAATCAACACCAATAGAAGCAGTAATTTTGGTAATAAATGACTTAATCCTTCTGTCCCACCATTCCGACATCTCCCCAACAATGAAAGGGATTACATGGCAACCATGGGGTTATCAGGGCCAAAGTAAGTCACATTTAATGTCTGAGAAATCAACCCTGCTGACAAGGTCATCGGCCTGATTTACAAGGAGGTCTATTCAACGTTACATAATCTTTCCTGTCCAGTACAATGGATCTGTTTTCTGAAGAGAAAAATAATCTTTGATTTAAAGCAAAAAGTTATAGGTGAAACTGCACACCACAAAAGCAAAGAAATTTAGACCTCAGATCAACTCTGCCTTCGCTCAAAATATGACACATTAATACTCACTTCTTGTAACCTTAACTTCCAGCCCAAGTAAAGTAGAAAAAGTAGAGAGTTGGAGCACCACAAGCGTAATGTATTTTCTGAACACTACCTTTTATTTAATAGGTGTTTCGAAGTTCACTTTATCCACCAGATCACCAGTCTCGTTTGGATATTGTCCGTGCTAATTCCAAGTCTCCCCTCCAGAGACCCAGTTCATCTAAACCTTGTGCTGGAATAGTTCAGGTAGGATAAAAAAAAATGAGTGGTTCCCTAAACAAAACTAAAATAAGTGCTTCAAGAAAACCATTTCATTAATTTCCTATTCGATCAAAGGTGAAACTACATCTTTGTCACAACTGATTATAGAAGTAGAATATTCACAAAGTAAAAGTTTTATATATATAATTTGCAATAGATTAGCCAGTCCTTGCAGAAAGTGGGATGGCAAACCTCTCTGCCAGGTCACAGAGTGGCTAATCCATCATGAGCAACAGAGCGATAGGAAGGCTCCGTTGAGCTTGCGTCAGTGGTAGAATTGTGAGTGGGCTGTCCAGCCCCATGGGGGCAGACCCTTGTTATCTCCACCTGTGAGGGATATTTGTATACAAATACTCCCATCTCTAGTCTTTGCACTTTTTATAAGCATGTTAATTTAGTGCTATGTGCCAGGTACGGGGCAAATGTGCTTTTGAAAAGTTACACTAAACTACTGTATATCCAGTCAGAAAGACTTCCTCAAGAAAATCATTTGTGCCTTTTTATTCAGTCCATCAATTATAAACTACCATATTTTTCCATTTATAAGATGTCCCCATGTATAAGATGCCCCCTACTTTTCTAACACAGAATTTCTTACTTTGCAAGAAAGTGGAGGGGGAAAGCAGGGATCAAAGCGCTTTGATGCCTGCTTTCCCCCCTCTGCTTTCTGGGGAAAAAAGTGCTTTCTCCCTCCACTTACTTTGCAAAAAGCAGCTTTCCCCCTCCACTTTTTGCAAAGAAAGTAGAGGGGGAAAGGGATTCCTTCTTGAAAGTGCTCAAAATGTTATTTTATACATGGAAAAATATGATACTACTGATTTCCGTAGTAGGAATTTAACAAAGCACTAACTGGCAACTATACAAAGCAATGTTCAGTAGCAAGAGGATTACTGAGAGTAAACAGGTTCTTCCATAAAGGATGGGGAATCTTTTGCGTGTGTGTGTGTGTTTGTTTGTGTGTGTGTGTGTGTGTGTGTGAGAGAGAGAGAGAGAGAGAGGGAGAGAGAGAGAAGGTGTGATCCTATGGATCATCATCGAGCTCTAAGTAGAGCAGAGCCAGAGCCAAAAGTAAACAGGGCCATGTCTTTTGTCATTTCCCTTCTTTTTCTCTTCAAATAAGCTGAACATGTACATCACAAGATAGCTTCATCTTCAAAGTATTTTATGTTCCCTAATGAAATGAAAGCTGTTTTCTCCCTCACAGGACAAAGATATTAAAGGCCACATGAAATTCAGCCACAGGCTGCATGCAATCCTCAGGCTTCCCCTTTCATATAGCAATGCACCTTTTACTTTTTCAAAGAAAAAATGTTTTATAAAAAAACTGACTTGTTATCTTCTGTGGTGGCAGATTTCCAGGAATAATTTGAAAAAGGAAGAGGAGGAAGAGGAGGAGGAAGATGATGAAGAGGGGGATGATGAATATGATGATGAGGACCTAGAAACTACCAAGGAAGGCAGATAGCTTTTGAAATTAGCAAGGTATCATCAAAACAACCTATTAAAATAAAACTAAAGTGACAATTTTAAACTGACAATATTAAACAAGATTGTTAATTGACTACCATACAAACTCTCGATATGAAATATAAACATCTACTAAAGTTGATTTTTGTACACAAAAAATTTAAGTTGTTCCTTACAAATCTGTATGTCATAATTTGGATTCAACATTAGACCATACACTTACCGATCTGCCATCCTTTTGATATATTGCCTTAGAAAAGATGCATTTTTGTAAACAAAGGGACCAGTACTGTTTTAAATAAATATAGTATATTCACCCAGATCCTACTAACCAAATACCTTTCCTTTCATAAACTACAGAGATTGCTCGTGAAAGCCAGTTATTACACAACAATCAGTCATCCTAAAAAAGCAAATATTGGAGAGATGTGCATCATAGATTATTCTATGCATCATCTCCTAGCACATTGTATGTTAAAGACAGCTTGCAGATTTCTAGGCCCATTCTTATCTGAGGTCTTTCCCTCCCAATCTAATTTTACTGAGTCTGCATCACATTTGATGTGTAAAGAAGTAGTGCAGTTAGCTTAGGAACAGACAATACACTAGGTAGAAGTGCCTTCTACATTACCTAATGTCTAACACAGATTTTTGCTTATAATTCAGATAGAAACACTAAAGACAAGTGAAATTTGTGGTGATGGATTTTCCTTTATCAGAATGGCTACGTTAATTTTGTATTATCTGTATTATAAAGTTCAGGATATTTCTGCATGGCTTTTTCTTTTGAAATCGTTATTTTTTAAATATTTAGAACATAATTATAACATAATTATTTTATCAAGTCTTAATGAAATAGTGTCTCTCAGTAACTGAAATTCTGTTCATGTTAAGTTACACCATGACATCATCAGCTCGGACAATTTTTCAGAAATTAAACATTTCCTACGTCTCTCCTAAAGCACATGTTTCCTGTGTAACTCCTTTCATTCTTGGGAATCTGTGGGACAGGAAATTGTTCTTTATTGAAAGTTCCTGCCACCAACATTATTTTCCTGATGGCAGCACTTTTTGGTAATTGAAGTCTTCCTTCTCCTGTTCCACAGCTCCTCCTCCCTAAGTTTCCAACAATGGAAGAGATTACATGGGAGTTGAAGGTACCTCAAGAAAGAAGCAGGAAATTTTAAGCTGATCCAGCTAATGACATTGTCAGTCTTAAGCAGCATAATTTACATGAGCTAGGTCTCAGTTGCTGATTCTTAAAATTCCCCTAAAACACTGAAGTGGATTCCAAATTAAAAAGGAAAAGTGTAAGCTGTTACCAGAGGAATGAATGCAAAACACATTTTGTGGAACCGTACTGAAAGTGAAGTACAAGATAAGGAAATATATTAATACTCCACTAGTTAGCAGTGCTTCTCCCCTTCTTTTTGTCCCATATATTCCATAGAGTTCTAAAGTATAAACACAGTTGACTTAACACTAAAAAGTTGCAAGCATCCATTCCATTTGTGACTCAGCATAAAGTTGTCTAAAGCAGTAGTTTCTCCCTTAGCAGTGTAGATACTATCTGTGAGACACAGCTATCCAGGAGGGACATAAGACCTGCATAACAGTGTTAAACTACTAGTGAAGTGTTTCTGTTTCTATACTTTCATCAAGTAGCTGGCTACATAGCTCATTGTGTTGGAGTTCCTGGCTGCAGAACAAAAGATCAGGAGTACAATTCTCCACTGTACCTTGTAGCAAACAAGCTAGCCTGTATAGCCTTGGGCAAGCTCCCACAGCACTAGCAGAACCACTTCTGATTACTCTACACCTACACTGGGAGGGGTCACCATATATTGCAACTGACGTCACAGCACATAAATATTATTTTACTCTCACCAGTGCTATTGCAATGTTTTATTTTCTTAAAACTCGCCATCAAGGATAACTATAATAACAGGATGCCTGTAAGCATACACATTATCTTCTGAGAAAAGTTTTTTGCTTCTGTCATAGTAATAACCCAAGTTCTTTGCTAGTGTGTTTGGTAGGAACTAAGATGTGAAATGCTGAGATGTAAAAGGTTGAGAAGCCGAAGAATGGTCTGCAGTAGATTACCTAACAGTCTTCAGTGGTGTTCTAGCTGTAGAAATGACCATATTAAAGAATAATTTACTGTATGTTACCAAGAGTATATTATCTTGCAATAGAAATTAAACTCAGATAACACTACGTATCAGTATGGGTATCCATTTGAGGTTTGAATGACATTCAGATAGAAATATCTACATCAGTATGTAGGAATGGGAAGTTTGGGAAGATTTAAACTCCCCCCTCTGAGATGAAGAGATGAGATCTGAGGACTGCGTTTCAAATACATATCCACATAAAATAGTGACTCAACTAATTAGCTCAAAAAGTACAAACAATAATTCTGAAGTCTATCAGAGTTACTACCAGAAAGCAGTGTTTGTTGGGGGGGAGTGTTCTGATAGGTTAGACTGAAATATTTTATTTGCCATATATTTTTGTAACCTGCAGCCTCTTCACCAGATGCACCAAAGGGGCTGTTGTCCATGAAAGCTTACACCAAATAAAATCTGTTATGTTTTAAGAGCCGTATATAACAGTAGAATTCCATAGGTGGGAACCCTGGAATCCCACAGAATCAGGAGTGACTGAACTCCCCCATCTCACTATAGCCTCTGTTTGCCTCCAAAATCTGGAGGGACGGGAGCCCCTCTGGAGTTGCTTGGCATCAAGGGTAGCTATAGGGGCAAGTGGAAAAGAAAAAAAATTATTCCAACAATATTATACATAGTTCATTGATACCTATACTCTTGGTACTTTTACAGAAATTTGCAGCTATTACTGCAACCCAGCAAACTAGCATTCTACAAAGCAATTCTAAAAATGGGCCAGCCCAAACAAAAAAAGTTGAACTTTGAAACTGGATTTCTGATCAGCACTAAGTTTGACACAGATGTAGCAGGCAGTCTGCTCTCTCTCTCTCTCTCTCTCTATCAAATGTGAAGATGTTTGGCCAAGTAGTTTTCAAGTTATATTTTTTAAAAAAGTAAAATGTACCCCTCTTGTGAAGAAATATGTTATCAAACCCCAATTTTAAAACAGATGAAATAAACTGAAAAGACCAATCCTGCTTATCTTAAAAGAGAATGCTTTTTTTGTTTGTACGGAATCAAAACTGCAGGGACTGAAAAACAGTAGGACCCCCATATCTGCAGTTAATTGGTTCCAGCCAGCCCCACAGGTGCTGAAAACCAGGATAATAGTGAATAAAAGAGAAAAAAATCCAGAAAAAAATATTTTCACATGCATTACCAGAACTGGCCACTAGACAGTACCAGAGACCATACTATGTATTCTATGTAACAGCCTCCTTCCACCTCACAAAGTAAGGTTGCTACGTCACCACACCTCTACACTTCCGGTAGTCTGCCACCAACCATTCCCTGAATTGAGTCACACAGACTGGAATGGATTTAAAAATAAAAGAACTAAATGTTTATTGATTGGTACACATGGATTGGTAAAACACACATATCATGTAATCAGGTAAAGAAAGGCTCAAGCTTATACAGACTCTCCACACGTGTTCACACAGAACCCAACTCCTCCTCTCTCCCCCATCAAACTCTCACTTTCTATATATACCACACAGCTCCTCCCCCTGATGTCCCGCCTTCCGACCACCATTGGATGATAACTCTCCCTCCAAACCCTTGAAGGACAGGTGACATCAGAGCTGACTGTAACACTGCTTATCTTAAAAGAGAATGTTTTTTTTGTTTGTACGGAATCAAAACTGCAGGGACTGAAAAACAGTAGGACCCCCATATCTGCAGTTAATTGGTTCCAGCCAGCCCCACAGGTGCTGAAAACCAGGATAATAGTGAATAAAAGAGAAAAAAATCCAGAAAAAAATATTTTCACATGCATTACCAGAACTGGCCACTAGACAGTACCAGAGACCATACTATGTATTCTTCCAACAAGAATTTTTAGTACAGCTTCTCACTCCTAGTGGCCAGTTATGGTAATACATGTGAAAATGTATTAGTGACTCTGTCGGGGGGGGGGGGGAAACCTAATAAAATAAATAAATATTATTTTTCCTAGTTTTTTCTTTAAATATTTTCACACCGCAGATAAGTAAAACATGGATACTGATTCCATAGGTATAGGGGTCCTACTATATTGATCATCAAAAAAAGGCCTTTCAAGAGAGGATAAAATCACGTTGCTATAAACTACATGAGCATGCATGAAACTGCCTTACCAAAATGCTTCATTGCAGTTCTATGGGCTAGGAAGGGGAGATGTTTGGAGGGCAATGAAAAGTCACAGTAACAGTGTAGCGGCAGGCTTTCTTTGAAGAGTAACAAAAACAGGGTTTCTTTAAAGAAACTAACAGTGACAGTTCTCCAGAAAGGGATATGTTACCATGTATCTCCAGTGAATTAGCATAATTTTGTAAAGCATATTCAAAATATTTCTGGATTACAAAAGCACAGAACAGTTGTGTTTGTCCCAGCCCTGAATGCTTTCAGTAAACATTCTCTTAGACCAGACTCATGACTTGAGATGGGCACAAAATATTTCATGTCCCTTCATCAAGTCATCTGAGCAGCATATGATTGTAAAAATATTTTAAGATATTTAAATATCTTGGAGTGAGTGCGGTTGCTGCGGATGGCCCTCCAAAGCAAATGGGGGCCCGTTGGCGATGAGGTCTGAGTATTTCCTCTTCCCCCCCCCCACACACACACACGACCACCATCACTCCCTTTCCCAGGGAGTGCTTATTGTGAATTTCGTTGTATGTGTATATACTTACAATGACAATAAATTATTATTATTATAAATAAAGAATAGAGAACAAATATTCAGAAGCTCATTCATTTAATCTGTGAAATTCCTGTTTTTTGATTTTTGGCTGGGGAGTAGTTTAGACATCAAGTTGAAGAGCCTGAGGTTTTGAGTTTGATTCCCACTGTGCTTCCTTGACAGGAGCTGAACTCAATAAGCCATAGGGTCCCTTTCAGCTCTGCAGTTCTAAGATTATTGTTTTAAGATTATTATGGTCTTACTTGATATTAGCAGAGCTTTGGTGCTTATATCCTGTCATAGCTTCAACTATTCTACCTGTCTTGTCACTATACAATTGTCCAATAATTAAAAAAACAACTTCAAAGATGTTATGTGCCATCAAGTCACTTCTGATACATGGTGACTATACAAGTTAATAACTTCCAAAATGTTATATCTTTAACAGATCTGCTCAGATCTTGCAAACCAAAAGCATCTCAAATTGTTCTCTCCTCCTACTGCCTCCCTTTCCTAGCAGTATTGGCTTTTCAAATAAGTTCTGCTCAAGTTCTGCAAACTAACAGCTGTGACATCTTACCATTCAATTGTTGAAAAACAGTCCTTAAAATTGGTATTTGGGTATGAAGTACAGCGGTGCCTCCAATAGCGATGTTAAACCGTTCCGCAAAAAACATCGCTATTGGAATTCTTCGCTATTCAAAACTTGGTTTCCCATTGAAATGCATTGAAAGCCAGCTAATCCATTCCAATAGGAACAAATTGCTGTCGCTATTCAAAAATCTCCATGGGGAAACCTCGCTAATCAAAACGCGGTTCCCCCATTGAAATGCATCGAAACCTATTCAATGCATCTCAATGGGGGAAAAAACAATAAATTTAAAAAGAGAATAAAGCCAGCAAGCGAGGGAGTGAGGAAGCCAGCCAGCCAGCCAGCCCAGAAATAGCGTTGGGGCCGCCCGCCCGCCTGTCCCTGCCTGCCGGAGGGTGCCCGGCAGGTCCCTTTGTTCTCCTCCCTCGACCCCCAGCGCTGCCAGGAGAAGCCAGAGCCAGAGGAGGCCCAGCCGGGCCGCCGGGAGATGGGTAGCCGCCGCCGCCCCAGAGGAAGGAGCCGGCCGAAGCGCCGCTCGCCCAGGCCTTTTCTCTTCCCTTTCCCCTGCCCCAGTAGGAGCAAGCAGAGCCAAAGCACAACTCACCAGGGCCCTTCCCCTTCCCCCGCCGCTGCCCCGGAGGAGCGAGCCGGCCGAAGCGCCGCTTGCCCGGGCCTTTTTCCTTCCCCTGCCGCCACCGCCGCCCCAACCATCGCTAATCAAAAATTCCCCAAATAAAGTCGCTAATCAAAGCGAAAAAATTCCCAAAAAAACAAATCGCTATTCAGTTTTTTCGTTAATAGAGGCGCTCGCTATTCGAGGCACCACTGTACAGTGGTGCCTCACTTGAGACCTCTGGGTAGTGTGGGCGGCATATAAATTGAATAAATAAAATAAATAAAATAATCTGTTCCAGCAAAATCGCTGTAGAACGAAATCATTGTCAAGCGAAAGTAAAAATCCCATTGAAATGCATTGAAAACCGGTTCAATGCATTCCAATGGGCGAAATACCTCAGCGTCCAGTGAAGATCTTCCATAGGGCGGCCATTTTCTGGTGCCTGTAATGCGAGGAGCCATTTTGCACAGCGGGCGGCCATTTTGAAGTCCCGACGATCAGCTGTAAAGATCATTGTTAAGCGAAATATCGGTTCCTGAAGCAGGGAACTGATCATTGTAAAGCAGTTTTTCCCTATTAAAACATCATTCTGCAATTGCAAAAACTTCATCGTAAAGCGATTTCCTCGTCTAATGAGATAATTGTCAAGCGGGGCACCACTGTAGTTAAATGAGGAAATAAGAAGTCAGCTTCTGGGATTTGCATTTGCTTGGTGTCATTGTGTGAATTGTATTCAAGAGGGCTTTCTGTAGACCATCTTGATCACTGCCATTGGTGTTGTCAACATTAAAGCTGTCCTTTGCTGTGTGTGTGATGCTTTGCATCTTTTTTCCTGCTAGCAGTGGTTGTAGCAATAGGGTCAACTCCTGGTGTTTTGATTTGTGGGTACAGAAATATAATATCCCATATTCATAAACTGAAATGTTTTTTTAAAAGATCTGAGTTATTATTCAAATAAATTGCAACAGAAGTGCTCATAAAAATATAGTTTATTAGCATCCATCAATTAAATGAATTGTATATAAAACTATTGGAATAAAAATAAAATGTAAATGGTAGTATTTTAGCATATTTTTGATTTGGCCAGTTTATAACTTATTTAAAAACCACAAATTCAAAATCTGTATTGTGGAAAGTCCACATACAAATATACATGGACTTTTTACAAACCACTCTACAATATTTATCATCCCAAGATGATGTTGAAAACATATACAGAGAAAAAAATCCACACAATGAGCTTACGTAACTGTTTTGAACTTTAAAGAGTAAAAAAAATTATAAAGTTCCTTCATATAGTATCACTCCTTTTATGCTTTTAATCATAGTAAAAGTGGTATTTATACTTTTTTAAAAAGTTTGGTAACATTTCTCTAGTCTTATAAAAGGGAGGATGGGTAATATCCTGAGATACTGAAACTCAAGGGGAAAAAGTGCAGATTTCCTTTGTACTTCTTTCAAGGACTTTGTATGTATTTATTCTAACAAACCTTTCCTCCTGGCACTTCAGTTTCCACATGTTTTCCATAGATTCTAAACAATTCATACCTCTATGGATTTTAAACACACCCTACACATTTATTAAGGAAGTAAAAGGTTGGAAATATTCAATTACCACTGCTTTAACATTTGGGTAGCTCTTGGAAATTTCAAGTACAAACATATCATTTCAACTAATGGCCATAATATTCCTTTACTAACTTACCTAGTCATTGTTTAATTTAATTTGGGTATTTCTGCTTATTATCTGAGTTCACTGAATTCATATCTGTAAAATTCTTTTCTAACACTACTTTTCAAATAATTGAAATGTGTGTATACACTTTATGTAGTGTATAAAATGTAGGTAAACACTTTAAAAGTTTGCACTCCTATATATAGCTGCTTTTCTGAGGGTGGCTTACTTTGGAGGAAACAAGTCCAGGATTTCAATTTACTTAATAAGCTTTATAAATAGGGTGCATTTAATTAGATGTTGAGCTGTATAAACGCATGGCAAATCAGCTACCATGTTCTCTAGACTCACAAAGAGAGTATGGCTTAACAAGAAGATGACGGCATATACCAAGATCCAGGTCTATAGAGCCTGTGTCCTGAGCA